TTTTTTTTTTTTTTTTTTTTTTTTTTTGTACCAGGGATTGAACTCAGGACCTGGGGATTTTGAGGATGGTGGTGGCACCACTGAGCTAAATCCCCAGCCCTTAATGCAACCATCTGGAAGAATAATTTTGATATAAGGAAAAGTCTCTCTTTGATTTATATTGGTGGCTTGGCCAGGCCCTCATTTGCTTGGGCAAGGGTACAACAAAGAATAAAAGAGACAGAGATAAAAATTTAGAATGCAAGGGGGTCCAGAGCGTGATATGCCTCTAGTAGACACTCAAAAATCTCTGGGTCAATCCACTTTTATTAGAAAGCCAAAATCTCAGGGGGAAGGGGATCGTGTGTCATACTGCCCATAGATGTCAGTAAATGTATAACTAGTAAGTAATGGGGAACAAGATTAATGGGAACAGATCCTTCACCGTACCCAGATGCCTACATTCTATGCACTGTCCTCTGTAAAAGTTGTCTTGCCTTAGGAGTGCTGTGATTATGAGTTTTCCCACACACAGCCAGAAAGCCTGTGATTTTTTAAATTAACTTTTCTGTTCCTGAAGCAAATTATATCAGCCTTAGACTCCAGGAGACCCAAGTCATGTAGCCTAGTCCCCAGTAGACCTAGTCACCTTATATCTAAGAATGGTGTAAGTCAATACTTTAGAAGGAGAAAATGGGGATGTTTATTATAGCACTTACTGAATTACTGAAATACTGTAAGCAGCCTCAGCAGTTGTGAAAGGAAGTGACATATTTAACTTAATTGTAGTGCCTCTGTTTGTAGTACAGTGGTGGTGCAGGTGAGCTCTGGGATCATACTATCTGAGCGGAAATGCTTGGCTCTCATGGTAGTTCTGTGATTGCAAATAAATTTAATATATTTGTTACAGTGGAATGGGCCACTAATAGTCCAGGATCTTGTGTACAAGGAGGAAAGAATTGCCAGTGGAAAGAAGGGAGTGACTCACTCAGCTCTATTGTTTCTAACTGTACTATACTTATTTGTAAAATAGAAGTCTACTTTTCCATTTTGTGTTACTGTGATGAAATACCTAAGCTTGTGTACTTTGTGAAGCAAAGAGGTTTATTTTGACTTACTTACCACTCTAGAGGTCCAAGGGCAGGGCCACAGCTGCTGCTGGCTTTCTTGCTGGCAGAGTCCCACGGTGGCCTAGGACATTATGTGGCAAGAAACTGGGAGCACATATAAATGTCTCTTCTGGTCAGTTTCCTTCTCCTTAGGAAGCTACCAGTGTTCAACTCTGTGGGCCAGAACCAGAGACCTTATCTAATCCTTACCTTCTTAAAGCCCCCAAGAACTGCAGTTGAATTATATTTCTACCTGTTTATTGCCTCACGATAGGGATTCATTTCCAATACATGGAGCCCCTAAGGTACATATTCAAACCCTATGCAAACCATAGCACTACCTGGAGGATCACTTTGTAAGATTAAAAAAATGTGATGCATAAATCACTTAGAACAGTATGTGGCACAAAGTAATTATTCCATAAATATCTTTTGATGGCACATTATACAGCTATCACAATAAGAATTATACGCCTGCCTTGCAGGTACAAGGACCCAAGTTCGATCCCTGGTACCCCAAAAATAAAAAATAAAAAATAAAATAAGATTTATAAAATGATGCAATAAGAAAAATATTGAATGATACATTTTTAAGGACCTTGCCAAACTGGTGTAGGATTGCCCGAGCTAAGCTGGAAGCTGGCAGATCTACTTCTTGCAATCCCATCAATGCATTAAATTCAGCGAAGTAAACTAAGATAGGATTAGTTTCACACTACCTCTAAAACCACAGGTTGGCAATGCTGCAGTAATTTAAACTGGCTGTTTTCTCCCAAACTCAAAAATGTTAACTAAAAGTGGCATTGCAACCAGTAGGAGCTTACTATGTATCTGTTATGAGAGAAACCAGAGGGTAGAGACACCTTGATCCTAGCACTTTGGGAGGCTAAAGGAGCCAAATTCAAAGCTGGGTAACAGCGATTTTATTATGCTCAGTTACTAGGAATGAACCATACCTCAGTGCAAAGGCCCAGAGCTCAATCTCCAGTATAACAAAGAGACCACAAACTCCTAAAGGAGGTCCACTGACAGGAGTCAAGTCCACAAGCGCCTGGGGACTTTTCACAATGCTTAAGACTTAGGGGCCAGTAACTAGATATTAGACACAAATTCTTAATTGAAATGAGTTATCTACTGCAGATTCACACAACTACAGGCTTCTGTAGCCTGTGCACAACCTTTCTGTGAAATCATGGGTGGCCCTGAAAAGGGCCTTTTGTGTGATGTTCCCTCCCAATATTTAGGCTATTTAGACTTGTCCCTCAGAGGGATCACTTGCTCTGGACCTTGTGGTGATGGGTCTCGGTCTTCTTGGGCAGCAGCACGGCCTGGATGTTGGGCAGCACGCCGCCCTGCGCGATCGTCACCTTGCCCAGCAGCTTGTTGAGCTCCTCGTCGTTGCGGATGGCCAGCTGCAGGTGGCGCGGGATGATGCGCGTCTTCTTGTTGTCGCGGGAAGCATTGCCGGCCAGCTCCAGGATCTCGGCCGTCAGGTACTCCAGCACTGCTGCCAGGTAAACTGGGGCGCCTGCCCCAATGCGCTCTGCGTAGTTCCCCTGACGTAGCAGGCGGTATATACGACCCACAGGAAACTGTAAGCCAGCTCTGGAAGAGCGAGACCTGGCCTTCGCACGGGCCTTGCCACTCTGCTTTGCTCGTCCCGACATCCTCTTGCAGGTGACAGAAGGAGCTATATGTACCCAAGCAACCGCTACTGGGCTTATTTATAGTCTGATGGCTGGTTGTGATTTGACACCTGGTTGGCCGTCTAGCCAATCAGAAAAACCTCAACGGAATCACCTCATTTGCATACTGGCCATTTCCGTTATCCAATCAGATAGTGGGTGGGCATACTCATTTGAATGCCGCACCTATAAATACCACTCTTTCCAGTTTCAAACGGCCTTTGCTGACTTGGTTTTGCCTGAGTTTGAAACCTGGATCATTAAGAGTTGTAGAGCTGTGAACTTAGCAATGCCGGAGTTAACTTCAAAGTTTGCCACACTTTCCAAGAAGGGGTTCAAGAAAGCTGTCATTAAGACTCAGAAGAAGGAGGGAAAGAAGCGCAAGAAATGCCGAAAAGAGAGTTATTCTATCTATATCTACAAGGTACTAAAGCAGGTTCATCCAGACACGGGCATCTCCTCAAAGGCTATGAGCATCATGAATTCCTTTGTTTCTGACATATTTGAACGTATATCGAGCGAGGCATCGCGCTTGGCGCATTACAACAAGCGCTCGACCATCACGTCGCGGGAGATCCAGACGGCCGTGCGCCTGCTGCTGCCCGGGGAGCTGGCCAAGCACGCCGTGTCCGAGGGCACCAAGGCCGTCACCAAGTACACCAGCTCCAAGTGAGGACATCTAGCTGCCCTTGTCTCCAACCCAAAGGCTCTTTTAAGAGCCACCTATGCTTTCTGAAGGAAGAACTGTGTGCTTATTACCTGATAAGCCAGACACATCTTTAGTTCCAGCACCAATGTGTTGACTAAACATTTCCCCAGAGTTTATATACTCCCCATTAGAAGATTAACCCAGTGGTTTTCCAACAGCATGGTCATAGCACTAGAAATGTTCAGGGTTGGGAATGTAGCTCCTGTAGAGTGCTTGCCTAGAGCGTGAGAGGCCCTGCTTTGCATCCTGAGTATGGCTAAAAAAGTTTATGTAGCTAATTGTTCAATTCTAAAAACAAAAAGGCAAGATTTTCACACTTCAATGCCAACCTGTTCCGAAAATAACTGTAAGAGATTGGGAGAAATGTATAGACGGTACCCTGAGTTTTTGTACCCTGAACCACTGGGAAATTTTCCCACCTCCACACACCACAGCCAACATAAATAGGAAGGAAGAAAGTCCTAATTCTCCCACATGAGACTTCTCTAATATTTTTCCAAGTCTGTAGCTGTAGGCCCCTTTGGCTCAGTTACCTGATAAAGGGTTTGAATTGGTAAGAGATGACCTAGAAAAGGTGAAGCGCTGCTCTCCATGCCATTTATCAGTAGAAACATCCACTCAGAGCTAGGGTTATAAATTTGAGAGCTCTCTCAATGGCTTTGCTGGAGATAAATTTTCACTGAAAGTGTTATAGTTTCTAAATTCATACACTCTGTAGAACCAGTGTAGCTATCTGTTCTGCTTGCTTTATAATTGAATGTAAAAGAAAATGGCCTAAAATAGAATACATTTGATAGACCATGAACTTGTTGCTCTTAAGCAACAAAGTTTGTGATCTTCACCCAGTGGCTGGACAATTTTGCTTGGCGCTGGTGTGCTTGGTGACAGCCTGGGTGCCCTCAGACACTGTGTGCCTGGCCAGCTCCCCTGACAGCAGCAGCTGCATGGCTGTCTGGGTCTCTTCAAGGTGTGCTCAAAAGCATCACAGACAAAAGTACTCACAATGCTCATGGCCTTGGAAGAGATCTGGAATTGGGAGTACACCTGTTGTAGTACCTAGATATGGACATCTGTCTTGGTAGCCTGTCTTGTGCTTACTCCTATCCCTCCTCTAGTCTTAATGACCACCTTCTACAAGCTCTCTTAGTGCAGTTGCATGTAAGAGTGGTATTGCAAAAGAGTATATCCAAAATGTTCAAACTAACGGTGTCTGATGAGAAGTTGTGGTAGTTATAGGACGTTATGCAAATGAAGTTTCTTTTAATCATCCTACATGTGACTGGATAATGGCTTATATGTAAATGAGGTAAACCCTGTATGGTCTTCTGATAGGATGATGACTAACTGACCAGATGAGTCAGATGAATCTGCTCTCATGCTGTAAATAGGCCAGGAACTGCCTTAACGGTAATTTTTTTCAGTTATGACGGAATCTTCTGAGCTCCATCTGAGCACCAGAGGGTGCAGGCTAAGCCCTCATCTCCTTAGTTACCACGGTCCACTGAGTCCACCTCCATCTCTGCGAGGGCTGCTCTATGAGTACCTCGGATTCTGGCGTTGTACCTGGAGTTGGTGGGTGATGCTCCAAAAGGATGACAAGCCTGAGTTGAGGCAAAGTGTGTCCATGGCTTTGGATCTGGGAGTTGCCACTGCCAAGATCAGCTTGGTCAACATTTTGCATATTATTCAGACCAGTGAGCTGCTGAGACTGAAGGGAAAGAGAGCCACATTTACAAAGGAGTCACAGAGATTATGTTTATTTGCTAATTCTGATCAGAAAAATAAGTCAGGAAAATTGGTATTCATTAGATTTTAATTGAATGGAGCAGTTCCTTCTAATCACAATTATATAATGATACAACACTAACTTAATTTGCATTCATTTAAAATTGTTATGTATTTTTAAATGCCAAGAAAAATAAACTTTTGTATATTTGAAGTTTTTTCCAACAGCTTTTGTCTTCAGTGACTTAATGTAGAACTTAACCCTTAACCAAAAGTGGAAGTAGGCAAAAACAGCCATCTAGAAGAAATACTTTTTAAAATAAATAGTGACAGCCTAAAACTTAATATTTTTATAAAGTACTATATTGTTTTGTGGATAATTGAAATAAAAATTCTCACTGAATGTGCCTAGTTATCTTTGAGTTGATGTTCCTATATTTTCTCATCTTTTAAAGAAAATTGATATATCCTAAATTTATTTTCATTGGAAAACTTAGTTACATGTAACTCCTGAGCAGAGATAAGTCAACTGTTTGTTAAATTTATTATATTATTAATAAATGTATTCCATGTGATTAGTTTTCCATGTTTTTTAAAAAAAGGAGTTACAGAGAAAAGTAACTGCAGATTTACCAGAGTAACCTTAACTGACTGCAGTTTTCTCAAAGGAGCAGGACCCAGAACTTCTGCTTATAGAGGCACTCATTTTAGTGCTCTGTAATATTGACAGAGGAACTTAGGGTCCTGGGTGGAACTGTGTCAGAACCCACTTAGAGATGGAAAAGCAGCCTGCTAGGTGAATCCTGGCATTGGCAACACCAGCAGTCTTGGGAAAGGAGCACATCTGCATTAGGGCATGGCTGTTGACTAAGAATGAAGATGTAGAATCTCATGTCAGGTCTTCTTTGGGTAGAGGATTTCCCCACCACATCTAGCCATTCAGCCTAACTCTACCCCTATTTTTAAATGAGGTTATAGTTAGATGAAGTGGTTAAATTGGAAGCAAAGAAAAATGACATGTAAACTCCAATGCTTACAGGACATTATTAAGCAGCAATTTTATCCACTTTATTCCAAGTTTTTGCAAGTATCTTTCAACAAGGAATTTTTCAGGTGTCTAGGATGCTTACATTCCTTGAAGTCGTAAAGCATTTCCATGTTAATAAATCAAGATACAAGGCACATGTGAATCTGATAATTTATAGAAATACTTAGAAAAATGTCTCAAATTAAAGCCTAATGCTAGGGCTGGTGATTTAGCTCAGCAGTTCGGTGGCCTGCCTTGCAAGCGCAAGGACCCAAGTTCAATCCCCGGTACCATTAAAAAAAAAAAACAAAAACAAACCCCTAATGCCATTGTGAAATTTAGAGTAAAATGACAAGCATTCTATCACTACTCAGGAATATCAGACACTAGATTCTACTACTGAAAATATTGATTCTACTACTTAAGACTGATTCTACATTGAATATGAAACAAAATATTGATTTTTTTTAGCACTCCTTGTTAGTAAACACACACAGAAATATCGGAGAACAGTAAAGCAGCCAAATATAAAATTTCTATACAAAAACAAAAGTGTCCAAATTCTTCAAACATTGTAAAACAAAGCAGAAGTCTTCACACTTATAGCAAGCTTACAATTTTTTTTAAATTTGCAAAGTTAAAAATTATTTTCTTAACAATACTTGTGTCCATAAAATTATCCCCAAGCCTATAGATCTGAATATATATGAGAACTATTTGTTGGAAATTATTAAATCTCTTGGAAACTTTATTTAAAAAGAATGGAAAATAAACAGGAATTATTTTAAAAATATAAGGACATAGTTTTAAAGAATATGTTAATAGATTTGAAATTATTGATGAAATGTAACAGTTTCTGAAATAGTAGTATAAACCACTTAAAGTGAACCTAGGAAGCAGTGAGGACTAAAAAGTATGGAGCAAAAAGTTGGGTTCATTGGTCACTTAACATCCTTAAGCTTCAGGTTGAAGGAGAACTCAAAAAAAAAAGGAAAAACAAGTTTCTCCACCATAGATGTCTCCCCTTTAGACTTTCTCCTCCCTATAGCTGTTGTTCTTTATTCTATTATAAATAAAAATAACTTTGCCCCTGTAAGTAAGGTTTCACAACCTCCTGTTCTCATAAGATCTTATTTTTACCTGACCAAGGCCACCAGGATATACTAAGTTGCAAAGCTGTCACAGCTTGACTGATTACCTTTGTTCTAATTCTGTCCACAAGTTAGGTAGATCAACCCTCCTCTGTGACATGTATAAAACTAGAGCTCTTCCTTTGTTCTGAGGTCAGCCTTTGGACATGAGTCTGCCAAGCTGTTGTGCACCTAAATAAATCCTGCTGGCTCACCTGTTGGTCTCTCCATTCTCTTAACATCCTGCATAAAGGCCTTCATGAGAGTTTCTTAGATATTTAAGGAAAAGATAAATCAACAGCTAATGAACTCTGTTTATGTTTTTTTCAGAAATATGATAAAACTCAAAGCATGCTATTAAGTGTAGAACATTCTCAATCATGAATAAGAATCTACAAATCTTCCTTTAAATATAAACAACACTGGAAAGCCCATTAAAAGTTAACAATGATGGGGTAGGAACGTGGCTCAGTGGTAGATTGCTTGACAAGCATGAACAAGGCCCTGGGTTGGATCCCCAGCATGACAAAGTTAATAAAATTTTTTTTAAAAATTAGCAATGACAAACTAGGACCCATCTAAGAATATAAGATTGCTTGAATATTAAAGTATAAATTTCATTCACTTCATAAAGTTAGAAGAAAAGTTAATCTCATGTTGAAACTCAACAGATGTTTTAAAAAGCACTTACTAATATATTTACTTGGGTAATTTTTTTCTTAGTAGAGTACTGATAATATTTTTAGCAGACTTTTCCCAATCACTATTATCTAATATTATTATAGATTATTAAATTTAAAAATATATAGATTCAGCAGCACTAGAAAATAAAAAATCAGATGCAAGTAACCCCTACAGAGGAATATACCCCACAGCTAACTATGAAATAATATTGGAATCAATAGTTTCCTCAGAACAATCCATATTTTCTGAGAAGGAGCTATTGCAAAGTTTCCGTAAGTCATTTATACTCAATGTAATAATTGCAGCTGCTTAAAAATGCTAGTACTTATCTTTCTAACTTTGTACAAATTGTATTATATAAGAAGACATCTTAATAAGTTAAATAAAGTAGAACTTTGTTGGTGAGTGTTGGCTCTTTTTCATTTATAAATTTAGAAATGAAGTATTCTACTGAAATTGGGTATGGAAGGAGTAAGCAAGGACAAACAAGGCTTAATTTTAAAACCTTCATGCAGAAATAAGTATATCTGACTATTCTCTAAAGTGAGTGAATGGAGTGGAGGGATTAAGAGACCAATTTTGCTCTAACATGGTCTGTTGCACAAAACACCTAACAAAGAACTGTCTTGTCCTCTGAGAAGTGCTTTGAAAACATCCAGTGTGGGAACAGCACATGCATGGTTTTAAAAGATTTTGTTTTGGGGCTGGGGATTTAGCTCAGTGGTGCTGTCACTTACCTTGCAAGCCCAAGTTCAATACCTGGTACAGTAAAACAAAAGTTTTTGTTTTTACTACAATAAACAAATTAAGATCTCTCTCTCTCTCTCTCTCTCTATCTTTGGGTGGGGTATGGAGATTGAACCCAGTGCCTCCATACTGGCCTGTGTCCCCAGATCTTTGTTGTTGTTGTTATTATAATTAATTTTGAGGCATAGTCTGGACTCTAACTTGTGATCCTCTTGCCATTTTTTTTGGACTGGGGATCAAACTTGGATACCTGTGCGTTCAAGGAAGGCGGAGGAACCATTGAGCTAAATCCCTGACCCTAAGAAATATCTTTTTCTATATAACTATGTCATACTCAAATCCACACAGATAGCCAGTAAAGCAAGTGTTCTAAAACCATGTACCATCGTGGAAGGGTTCTGAGGTTACTATTCTAAGTCATTGTTTGTTCTGCTGTTCTTCTGTGTACGTTATAGAGTGTTCTTATTTTGGCTCCTGACCATGGTCTCACATCTCACGGAAATGGACAACAGACAAGACACCA